ATGGATGGATGGATGGATGGATGGATGGATGGATGGATGGATGGATGGATGGATGGATGGATGGATGGATGGATGGATGGATGGATGGATGGATGGATGGATGGATGGATGGATGGATGGATGGATGGATGGATGGATGGATGGATGGATGGATGGATGGATGGATGGATGGATGGATGGATGGATGGATGGATGGATGGATGGATGGATGGATGGATGGATGGATGGATGGATGGATGGATGGATGGATGGATGGATGGATGGATGGATGGATGGATGGATGGATGGATGGATGGATGGATGGATGGATGGATGGATGGATGGATGGATGGATGGATGGATGGATGGATGGATGGATGGATGGATGGATGGATGGATGGATGGATGGATGGATGGATGGATGGATGGATGGATGGATGGATGGATGGATGGATGGATGGATGGATGGATGGATGGATGGATGGATGGATGGATGGATGGATGGATGGATGGATGGATGGATGGATGGATGGATGGATGGATGGATGGATGGATGGATGGATGGATGGATGGATGGATGGATGGATGGATGGATGGATGGATGGATGGATGGATGGATGGATGGATGGATGGATGGATGGATGGATGGATGGATGGATGGATGGATGGATGGATGGATGGATGGATGGATGGATGGATGGATGGATGGATGGATGGATGGATGGATGGATGGATGGATGGATGGATGGATGGATGGATGGATGGATGGATGGATGGATGGATGGATGGATGGATGGATGGATGGATGGATGGATGGATGGACAAATATTCAAATAATCATATCAAATAAATAAAGAGATTATTTTTTCAGTGATTTATCAATTAATTAAATACTTTATCGATCGATCTATTAATTAATTATTCAAACAATTAATATATAAGCATATATATATATATATACATATTTGTATATATATATACATACATATATATATATATATATATATATATATATATATATATATATATATATATATATACATATATATATATATATATATATATATATATATATATATATATATATATATATATATATATATATATATATATATATATATATAGCCCTATATATATATATGGCGTTTGTGGACAAGGCTACCATAAATCTTACCCTTCCTTCTAGCCATCTTAACTTTGTTCCATAGATGAGATACTCGAAGCCGGTTTTACTTTTAATCACTGGATTATGTACGTTTTGTATTTATTTCAAAAGGCAAATGTTAGCGTATATATATATATATATATATATATATATATATATATATATATATATATATATATATATATATATATATATATATATAATCAAAGCTTTGTCATGTTTCAATACAGATTCAAGACAGGTTTCAGTTGAGTTTGCTCTTGGCTATATTTAAGATTACAATAGTAGTACATTTTAAATTATCAGCAAATTATTCTATATCTCGTTTTGAAAACTTATATATATATCTTCTTCTTCTTAAGTGTTGGAGAGGATCGAGCCTTATCTGCCAGAGGGTTTGCACTCGAGACTTTTTAGAATTTTTTAACCATGAACTTTTTGCCGGCTCGACCACGCCTCCATCACAATTAAGGATACGTGTCAACTGGTTATGCGCCAATGTAGCCATTTACTCAGATTTCAGCCTGCTTTTCTTTTTGGATTTGCTTCAATAGCCTTTGTCTAACCAAGAACAAACTACAAGGCAGAAGTTGTTTGATTTTGGAGTTGTCTCTTCTAGAAGATTGGCTGTCCCCAACTAATATATATATATATATATATATATATATATATATATATATATATATATATATATATATATATATATATATATATATATATATATATATATATATATATAAAGATTTTGAGAGAGGTAGGGGACTCAACTTCAGATATTCGAACATATACTTAAACATATGATAGTCATCATGAACTTGATGCACATTATACTGTCACAACATAGATTTTCTTCTCTATAAGAAACACAGGAAAAAAATATTTGCTCGCATTACCCTTTTGTGTCCAGCTTACTTCAAACATAGCACAAACCATGAGAATGATTTCAAACACGTTCATGTCAAACATCCAAAGAGCTGTGTCTCCCATACCTATGTAAAGGGATGTAGAACCGTTTTTTTTTATTATTATCTTTAAATATTGATTATCTTTTTCTTTTCTCCACACAATGGCGTAGCTAGGGAAGGTCGGGTGGTGCGGCCGCCCCGGGCGCCGCCCCAAAGGGCGCACAAAAAGGATAGAAAAATTAATTTAAAACCTCATTTTAAGTATTGAATCTAACACAGCTAAAGTTACGAAAATAAACGATTACACGCTTTACAAGATGAGTTAACAATTCTGTGACACTAAAAATAGACAATTTTACGGGATAGTAACTGGTAAGAAGCGCCACAAATCTCTCAAAATTGGGGGATGGTAGTTTTTTTTCACTCACAGGAATAAATATTTTTAGAAATGGGAGGAAGATGGTGCAAAAATGATAGTCCGCCCCGGGCGCCGTAATACGTCGCTTCGTCTCTGTCTCTACAGCAAATACTATTGTGTTTCCATATTTACTCTAGAACTTGTAACTCTTATTTTAAAACCCTTGTTAGAGCTAGATTTTTTCTTTGTTAAGTCACCAAGTATGCATACACTGCTGCTATCTAGGATCAACGTAGACGACAGGAAATAAGAATATTAAAATTGTGTAGGTTCTACTGGTATTTTAAATCTGATGCATTGCTTTAGTAGAGAATGGATCAAAATATTGATTTATTTGCATTGTCCGGTGCAAAACATTTATAACAATGTCATGTGATTATGTATTGTTAAATTCTGGAATTTGCTTGTACATTCAAGATCTAGATCTAGAATCTAGTACTGCTGAATTTTATGTGTGTAATATTTTTCTCATATTTTCTATATGATTATTTATCAGTCCTAATTCACAAAGATGTTGTATTGTGTAATTCTACATTTAGCCTGTAGATTCTAGATCTAGATCTAGTTTTGCTGAATTTTATATGTGTGATATTTTTTGTCATACTTTCGATACAACAATTTTTAATATTATTAGAAATCTAGATCTATTAATTAATCTTAATTTATAAAGTTAATGTTAAAAATATCTATTTTAAATTTTAAGGGTTACTTAACTACTAAATAGAATTTTTGAAAATATAGACCACACAAAACTTATCCTAGTATACCACATACTAAAACACAATATATTTTATCGCAACAGCAGATAAATATGCTTTCAAAAATAAGATCATGGCTTCAATAAAAGTTAAAGCTTTGTTTTGCATCAGTGCTGAACAGTATGGCGCGGAAAATGTGCGTAAAACAACCATAATAAATTTACGAAACCCAAGTTTCCGAACAATTAAGAGATTTATAGAAAACAAGTAATTTAAAAAAGTCTAGTGACAATTTTAGCGCAATTTCCTTATGTTATCTAAAAATAGCTCTGTCGTAGCGTAAATCAAGAGCAGGGCTAGTAAAACCATTGGTTAGTTATTAAAACGTTTTTTATTAATTTTTTTTTCAGTATTTTACATGTTTTATTTACAATAGAGTAACATGACTAAAAACCATTGCGCGCCTAGCTACCGAACGTGATGTCATAGCCATTGAACGTGATGGCGCAGCTATTGAACGTGATGACGCGTGTGGTGTGGTTGCATAAAATGCCTACTAATTCGGTCCAAATTTTAATTAATTCAAAAAATTTTTTGTGACCAAACGAAAGGATATTTTTGAAAACTTTCTTCGGCAATATTGTTCTAAATTATGGCAGGAATCGATTGGTACATGTTTCAAGTCGCTTAGTGGTCTGGTTGCCGAGATGTGGGCCAAAAACTGCATTTTTTCGAGGTTTTTTGGCTTTTCCGGGAAATCCATGAAAGAAACCCGGAATTTTTATGGCCTATGTTCATCCTCGTAACTTGCTTAACATAATTGTTCTTGTAACTAGGCATCGATATTGCTTCGTTGAGGAGGAGATACGACTTAAAGCTGCGGACACACATCCATACATTCATCCATCCATCCATCCAGAAATGACGGGTTAATAAACGCAATTCTCCAGAATGGAAATTGCGCTAAAAAGGTTTTTTTAAATCTATTAAGTGAAGAATGCACCCAGATGTGTATCCAGAGCGTAGCGGCTGAATGCCCGCCCTCTCTCGGTGTCTCTTTTAGACTTTTCTCTCAGTGGGGGGGGGGGGGCACTTGAAACATTCGAGGGGTGATTATTATATCATGTTCGGTGGGTTTGACTAAGTTTTCCAGTGGGGGGCAGAGTTGTAGTGGGTGCTCCGCCCCTCTAAAGAGATAGCTGAAACTCATAACACTGCACCCGTTTCCCTCCCCTTCTCCACCATAGTAAACACTAGATTCGGATCACCTTTTTGGGGGAAAAGTTACTAATTAATTCAAACAAGCAATAGCAATCAATGGCAAAGATTTAAAATAACGTCTCTAATCTTCTTCTTCTTCGTTGTTAATTTTAGTGTTGGAAGAGAACCTCTCAAACACAATTAAGTGTACTTATCAAATATACTTGTGCTTTATTGTATTCTTCAGATTTTACCTAAGAACAGGACTTGTAAAATGCAATGCTTTTAGACCCATACAGGCGCATAACTAGTTGACACGTATCCTCAATTGTGTTGGAGGCGTGGTCGAGTCGGCAAAAAGCTCATGGTTGATAAATTCGAACAAAGTTTCGAGTTCAAACCCACTTGCAGATAAATCTCGATCCCTTTCAACACTAATAATTAAGAACGAAGAAGAAGAAGAAGAAGACCCATACATATCTGAAGATAAATAATTAAAGAAATTCATCAGATACATATAATACTTTTGTTTATTTCAAACGTATTTTTATAATAAAAATCCGCTTTAAGATAAATGTATAATACAATTCTGCAATGTAGTTTTTTTTTTTTTTTTTTTTTTGTTGGGATGAGGTAATGCTTACCGTCGCAATTATTTTATTTTTCGAAAACATGGAATGACATAAAGATTCTATAATAAGCAAACATTGTCATTAAAATAATAATTTTGCTAACCAAGTTTTACAAATCGTACATTAAACATTTGTGAAAATAATGTTCTAATTCTAACACAGGCTGCTGTAGTTGAGACGGTTGTCAGTACCACTGTGTGTATGGAAGAACTGGCTCTTTGAGCTTAAAACAAAAACCGGTGCGCCCCCACTCCCTGGGCAGGTGGGGGCCGTGTAGGCGAACCTTCTCTTACCTTTCTCCACCTCCTGTACTTCCCATTCCCCGACTGTCACCTGCTTGGAACATCCGTGTGGGTGAGATACAATCACAACAAGCTTGTCATTCTCACCGTACTTCTCGTTAACTTTAGCTCTCATTTCCTCGAGTTTTGATAGCGTTTCTTTCAATTTCATCGCGAGCTGTATATCATGTGTAATAAACATCACAACACATCGATCCGCTTCTATATCAGACTCCAAGACTTGGGATGCATTTACAGACACTAAAAGACTTTTATCATCATCGAACCAGAACCTGGCAGCTGTTTTCTTGGCCTCGATGTCGTCAAAGACCAAATGCTGAGACGTTGTGACGTGGATCTCTGACCACCTATCGCAAGGTACGTCCGCCGTCCGGCATTCCTCACACGGACACGGCGCCGCGTCACGTAGAATCACCTGCCCCGCGTACCCAGTTCCGGTCCGGAGTGTTTTCGTTCCTCTCAGGTCGTAGCACGGATAGGGAACATCTGTTCCCGGCAGCTTATCAGGCCGAGCCGGGCTAGTAACTTTTACGGCGATTCTTACCGTAACCTCAGCCAAAAGTTTAACTACATCCACGATGTCGTCGTCATGGTAACGAACCGGAAGTCGTTCTTTTGTAAATGTCTTCGTCGGGATAAAGGCTGTATGTCCTGGGTTTTTATCACAAGGTGCTACGTACGAATCTGTTGAAACAAAATACAAGAACTCAATTAGTAATAAATACACATTTTATTTAATTCATTTAATGATTAACTTAGTAAAACGTAAATGAACTTTTATAAGCCTGGCTTATTATGTGCATTACAGTATCTAAAGTTTCTCTTTATTTTTAATATTTTTTTTTTGCTTCATTTTAGTGTTGAAGGTGTTTTTCTCCAACACAATAAAGTATTACGTGTCAACTTTTATTGCACCATAAAGGCCACTGACTCCTATTTCAGCCTGCTTTTTTACTTTCTCGTATATACGTAGTATAGAGAAAGTATTGTAATCGTGCAAAAAAAAATCGAGATTTTTACAAATCTCGACGTTTTACACCTCACTGATACGGAAAAACATAATTTTGCAATCTTGTCCGTATGTCTGTGTGTGTGTGTGTCTGTCTGTCTGTCTGTCCGTGTGTAAACACGATAACTTGAGTACCGTTACAGCTAGGTTGATGAAATTTCATATATAAGTATTTTATCAAAATCGTAGATCCGTATCAACTTTTGAGTGATTTCCGATAACCGGAAGTGGTACTTTTCCTACTTTGAATTTTTCAAAAGCCTATAACTTGAGTACTATTTCAGATAGATAAATGAAATTTCACATGTAAGTAAAAGATCTAATTCTCTACCTTCTGTTAAATTTTGAGTAATTTCCGTTGACTGGAAGTAGTAATTTACGCTACTTCCGATTTCTCAAAAAACTAATGTAAATTTTTAAAGTACTAATAATATTGCACACTATTATACGCGTTTTTATTCGGCGTTTGCTTGGTGCGCAATGTTTTTTTTATGAGATTCTATTCTATTTTTAAAAGTTTAAGTATTTAAAATGGATTAAAAATCATAACTATATCCCCAGTTACCATCCCCTGTTGTTTTATATAAGAATATTCGAGAAAGTTTAGGGGAGATCACTCCCGGTTTATTTTAAATTTGCGTCCATAGACTTTGTCCAACTCAAAACAAACTAGAAAGCATAATTTTTTTTTTTTTGCATTAGAGACTTTTTGGTTTAGCAACCATGAGCTTTACCAACGCGACAACGCAAACCTCCTTTAATTTTCCTTTAATAATTTTAAAATATTTAATATAATTATAAGCCTACGTTGATGAAATTCATAACAAAATTAAAATTTACTCACGTAAATTGACCATTGTTGTGAAGAAAGCTCTAATATTTTCTTATGAAAGCTTGTTCTTGATTTTTTTTCAAATTCGTCTGGGTGGTAACACTGTTTAAGGCTTACGTTTAATCAACACTCAAACAAACCTGCAAAAAACAGACTGTTGTTAAAAAAGTGCCTAAAATACAATATGTTTAAATACAAATATTCTATAATCCAAATGAAATTTGTGTGTATATATTATAAATATAAAACAAAGATTTACACACTGAATTCTTTTTTAATAGTAGCATATAATCATGTAAATTAAGTTCCACACATAAGTTTTCAAAATAACGTATACAAAAGGTTTAAAAAATTAGTAGTATCTCCTAGAAAAGTATCATTAGATTTAGAAAAAAAAGTAATGCATTTTTAACAACATACATTTAAAATACATCGTCATAAAATTATCACAAATATCACTAAAAACTTCAAATGTTGTTCTAACTATTAAATACTAGCATACTTGAATAGGTGCATTTCTAAAAATAAATCCGTAGTTCATATGTTAAAAATCTTCTTACTATTTTTAGAAGTGTCACTTTACCTATACCGAGCCTATTCGTCAACACACCAGCTTGGGAGTATGACTAACTAATAAGTGCGTTCCAAAATGCTGACCGTACAATAAATAGCGTTTTATTTACACTGTGGTAAGATCTGGAATTCCCGAAAACGTGTTACGACAACGCAGCATTAGTTGTTGGGAATTCCCGTTTAGCACTGTTCTAATCCAGGGGTCTCCAAACTACGGCCCGCGGGCCGGATGCGGCCCGCGATGTCCTCTTATCCGGCCCGCGGAGATCTTTTTGTCCACAGAAAAACCGTTTTTTTTGGTGATGGCTTAGGAACTTTGCCCAGAAAATCAAAGACATGCCTGGAAGAAACTGGCCCCTGAACTGAAATTTGATAGTTAATGCGGCCCTCGGACAGAAAAGTTTGGAGACCCATGTTCTAATCGATTGTACTTGAAAAAGCATTTATTCAATGTCGGGGAAAAAAAAGGATTTTCCGATTTTTAAATTATGAATTTCATACGCTCTTGAGTTGTTTCAAAGGAACAATGTGTAGTTCATTGTTCTTTGCGTGTGCGTTGTCGGGTGTTGGTGGGTGGGTGGGTGGGGGGGGGGGGTGAGGGTTTGAAATAAAAGTGGTTTCTTAATGTCACAATGGTCGACGGCGGAAATGTAATAAAGTATCTTGTGGAACGAAGTGGTATTTAAAAAATGTCAAGTTTTAGTGATATTTATAAAATCTCACAGCTCATATATACCGGATATATTCGTTATACAGATTGTCGGCTGGTTATGAGTTTCTGGGAAAATAACTTAAGTTGAGCAGCAAGGAATTCGCAAGTTCATTGAATTATTCCCGTTTTTACATTCTAAGGGTCATCCATAAATGACGTAACGCTTTTTTTGACGATTTTTACCTCCCCCCCCCTTCCCTCCGTCACTGGTGGTCGTCACAAAAAGCCAGACCCCCCCCCCTAAAATGACGTCACACCTTAGCTTAAACCTCCCCCCCCCCCTCAAAATTGCAGTTGAATTTTTTTTAAATATCGATAATTTTCCAAACTCTTGTCTGAAATCTGTCAAAATAGAGTATTTTAATCAATTCCTATTACAATTTTATTAAAACATTTTTTAAAACGCGAAATAACGTCTAAAATTAGTTTTCTAACATTTCTTTTTTATAATGAAAAAAAGTGTGACGTCGCACCATCTGAACCCCCCCACCCCTCATCACACATCGTCACAAAATTACCAACCCCCCTCCCCCCTCCGAGTGTGACGTCATTTATGGACGACCCTTAATACACATTAGATACAAACTAGGTACATAAAATAAGAAAACTAAAGCTAACTCGGTTGTGCTTAGTTGTTTTTAATTATCTTTGAATGTCAGCATAATTAAACTTTATTTTGTCGCTTTTATTAAATATGTGGTTCACCCTATTTTAACTTACATTATAACAAGAAAAAAAATTAAACTGTCGTTTTGGACTATAATATAAACGATTTAAATGACTAACAATATCAAAGTATCATTCCAATTTTTTTTCTGACACCATATAATCCACGGTTATATGTCTTTATGTGTGGGTGCGTAATGAAACGTCATTACAATTCTGCATGTAAAGCAGAGTTTCTTCCAGGCATCTTCTTCACCGCCCCCACCCCCTCTTCAACGAAATGGAATTTATATAGGAAATATAATAATATACTTTTAATAACAGTATTCGGAGAAAAAGTCTGGAAGAAACACTGCTGTGAAGTGAAGTGAAATTCATAAATATGCTGACGTAAATAAACATATTAACTCTACTTCACCTGCCTTATGGATCTTTTGGTCTAAACAGGGAACTTTGCTATATATGGATACGATTAATGAGTTCAAATAATTACTAGAAAAATACTAAAATCTTGGATTTTGTTTTGGTGTTTTCTCAATTGATTTTGTTGTACAATACATAACATTACATAACATTGCATGTTCTTTAAAACTATTTTTACACTATTGGGTGATAGCAAAAGAAAAAAAAAATCTTAATGATTGCATTTTTTTTAAAATTACATTTTTTTCATTCCCACGAAACAAGAAAACTACAAAAAGATATTACATTATATCTCCCAATTCCTGCTGGAGTTGTTTTTATAGTGCAACCTGGCGAGTTACCTTTCACACTAACATTATATCTTAGCTACCTTACTTAGAAATCAGACCCACATTTCCTATTTACTAAAATATTATGATAGATTCGACGCTCTAACTTAATTTGACTTGTAGTGCTGTAATGCTATCTATTAGTTTGCGTGTCTATTACGGGGCTTCATACATTTGAAAAAAACATGTCCGCGTCACCGGGAATATCCAAACCACAATAGGCATGAAAAGTCCATGTAATCATAATAAATTTTGAAAAAAAAAAATTTCTTAAAATATGGCATGGGATAAAATTATAGTTATATTTGTAAATATTAAAGCCTTGTAAGAATCAATGATTACACTCAATTTTATATTTTTGTGTCGAATATAAGCCGCAGAAAAGCAATTTAAAATTATTTGATCAATTCAAATATTTTCAAAAACTGCCCTCAACCTCACATTGAAGTCAACCGGAATGGCCATAGAGAGTAAAACAATAAAAGTCAGAACCACTGTTTTGCATGATAAAAATACACAATAGTGATCTATAGTGTATAGCGTAGTATTGTATTTATATTAAATAATGTAACATCCCCAATCACCACAATAACCTGACTCTACTAATCCACATTAAAAATAAAAGAGTTTGTTAAATTACTATCATATTGCTAGTAGTTATTTTTTTGACTATTTCTAGCATTAATCAAACCGGAAGTAATTTTGTACTTATTTCACAAATGTTATAAAATATTCAATTTTGGTTGACAAATATGATATCTAGCAACACAAATTTGGAGCCAGCTTTTGATGTCTATTACTCAAATTATTCACAGAATAAACAATAAAACCTATGTCTGAAAATACTTTGCTATTGGAGTCCATAGTATTACTTCACTGACTCGAGTTCTATTGTGTTACAGCTTTACGACTCAGTTGCTATCCGCGAAGCAAAAAAAAAAAACGTTTTCCCGATATTAAGTAAGTCTCGTCTCGTTTACTGTGAATGTGAAGCATTCGTTTGCTAACACGCAGGCCTATGTCGCGAGTTCGAATCATGACAGCGCCTGAAGGACATCAATCAGTCCCTCCAGCTCGAAATCAAAGCAGTTGGAGTTAACACTTACTACATTATTCCTTATTAAGCTATGTTCACATTAACAGATGAACTCTACATCGTCTACATTATTAAACGCCATAAAAAAAGTTTTACCAATACTGTTACAAAAACAGCAGTTTATTTTTATACCGTTTGTTTTGTACACCGAAAATGGAAAACAAATCCAAATTTAACTAACATCAATATTAATTTTAAAACAAAAAGTACAGGATATTAATAAAAAAACAAACAAGTAAACTTTTCTACCTATGGGTCTTTGGGGAAGTTAAGTAGATTCAGGGGCGTAGCGACGGGGGGGGGGGGGGGGGGGATGCGGACCGCACCGGGTGACACCATTTAGGGGGGGGGGGGGGTGACACCATGGCAAAAAATAGCAAAATATATAGAGAAAAACTTGACGGGGGGGGGTGCAAATCGAAAACTTGAGGGGGGGTGCAAATCGAAAGTTTGAGGGGGGGGGGGTGCAAATCGCTACGCCTCTGGGGGGTGACACCATTTAGTGCCGCACCGGGTGACACCCGACCTCGCTACGCCACTGAGTAAATTTCACATGTTTCTGTGACCTCGGGATGAAGCGATAGTGTGGTCAGCAGTAAGACACAAGCAAGTAAGTTTGGGGAGTTAATACACAATTTTTTTCCAAAAATATAAGGTCTTTAACTCGATCGGCTGAAGATTTAGAAACAAAGCCATTTGCAAGATGATCAAAGCGAAGCTAAAGAGAAAACAGGTAGTCAGCAGATAGTCACGATCGCCTCCCTTGTCATATTATTTAAAATGTCAACGCTGCAGTTGTGTGTTGTTGTTTTTTTCTATTCTGTTTTTTTTTTTTTTGCTGATTTGTGTGCTTATTTTTGTGCCGTTTTCTGCATTTTCAAGTGGGTGTGGGAACTATATATAAATAACGTCACATTTCGGAAGGGGGGGGGGGTCGGACTAAAAGTTGGCTCTTAAGGAAGCTAACACTCGATTCAACTAAAAAAGATTCTTCAAAACTTCGCACCAACGAAAAAGTCATATTTAAAAAAAGGGACGGTGTTCAAGATGTTTACGGGTGACCGCATTCATATATTACTGGACACTGATTTTATTACGCTATTTTTATAACTCAGATACCACCGATAGGGGTAGTGGTCTCTAAGTGGTATCTGGTGGGGGTCGGCGTGGTCCAGTCGGGAAAACAACTGCTGCCTTATGGTTTTTCTTACTTGGACGAAATTCAAAAAGAAAAGCAGTCTGAAATCGGAGTTAACAAATGGCGTATAACCAGCTGACACGTATACTTAATTGTTCTGCAAGGAATCCCCTCCAACACTAAAACTAAGAACGATTAAGAAGAAAGAAGAGTTCGATTAAAATTTGATTGGGCATTTTTTTGTACATAAAGGCCTGAATTTTACGCTTTGATATGAAGGAGTTTAAATAGTAACAGGAGTAACAGGAGTAATACCAAAAAAAAAAAAATCAAAAAAAATAAAAAAAAATAAAAATAAAAAAAAAACATTAATTAGGCTATTACAGCTTTTTTCCTGTGGGCCCACCGATATTTTTTCCTGAGGAAAAATGCCGGGCCAGTCCACCCTGTAGATATTGCAGTGGCGTAGCTAGGTCGGGTGTCACCCGGCGCGGCACTTAATGGTGTTACCCCCTCAGAGGCGTAGCGACTCTTCCCGGGGACAAACTTTTAATTTTCGATTTGCACCCCCCCCCCTCAAATTTGTTCTATATATTTTACTATTTTTTTGCCTTGGTGTCATCCCCCTAAATGGTGTCACCCGGTGCTGTCGCACCCCCCGCTCCCCCCTCTCTCGCTACGCCTCTGAGTTAGTGGACTGGCCATCTAAATAAATGAATC